TTTTTTTTAAGTCTATCTGAGTTTATGCGAGCGGTCAGTGTGAGGTCACCCACTACATTTCTTATGTATCCGGGCTTAGCTAGTTAGTATTATAGGACTTAAATCGCTATAAAATTAGTTTAAATAGACTGGGCAGGGAGTCGCACCTGATAGAGGTTGTTCAAAAGATCATATCTTCCGCAATTAACGTAGAGTTGTTGCGCGTCTTCGATGAGCCCCAACTGGATAGCAATAGCTGCTACTCTAGCTTCAACCTCCTTTGCATATCTCAAATTTGAAATTCCAGTTGTTGAAGACCATAAACAGATCAAGAAACATGCACAGCAGTTAGTGAGTCCTTCCACTAATATATTATATATGTTGTTTTAGCAAACCAATTATAAATTGAAGTCTGTACAGCAATGATTCCAGTTCAAACCACTGTGAATTGTAACTGGAATAAATCCGCGATGACATGAAGGGCCTCGCCGCACCACTCTCAAAAAAGCTCAAAAGGCCCACTCTTGAACTGGCAAATGGCTCTCAAAATGTGTGGCGACAACACACCCTGCCGGCGTCTGAAATTTTGGAATGTATTTGGTCAGCATGTTTGACAAGAAGGGTCTGTCCTTCCACTCCAGCCCCACTTCAAGAGCCACTTCTTGAACGAACCGGTCCACAAGCCATGCCCTGGTGGGTTACAGACCCGACAAACATCGAAAATGAAGCTTTCCCCAAGGGTCGTATGAGGCTGGGAAGGCGCCCATGTTCGAGGAGGCCTCTCCAATCCCTGTCCCTGACACCTCTCGATGATCGGGTGTGGCGATACCACACCTCTCGAAAACACGAATGGCAAGGCCCCAAGCCTGCTCTTCATTTCTCTCTTTTTTTTCTTTCCTTCTTTTTTTTTTTCTTTTTCAATTTACGTCAGCTTTTCTCGATTATTGAACTTTTAAACTTCAGAGCAAGAGCACGTTAAATTAAGTGGATTATTATATGAACCCCCTCTGCAAGCAATATCTAGCACAGGGAGGTAGTGTGGCACCGGACAGTGCCAGAAAGCTAGGCCCGCTGCCATCACCCCATAACATGTCAGCCCTGTTTCAGCCCATGTCAAAGGAGTGGGACATCAAAACAGGCAGGCAGAGCTGGGCAGATTCACCTACCGTCTTCCCATGAGAGCCAGCCATCCTGTTCATGAATGTATACAAGCTATCTTTCTAGTCCAATACAGTCAAGATGAAGGTGTGGTGTGTTTGGGGGAAGATGGTGGGAACCAGGGGGCTCTCCAGCTTTTCACGTAATGGGCATCCCTGCTGAGGATCTGGTAACAAGTTTTTGTCCTGACACCACCAGTACACCTGGGCCTGGACGCGCCTCAATGTGAGCCAACCTTTGACGAACCGCTGGCGGTGCACTTCTTTTCTTTTTTGACTGGCGCCACCAGCCATTGTGGTCTGGTAGGCCCAAGGCGCAAAATTTTTGGAGTAGGCGATGAACTTCTTTCCACAAGGCTGGGGCTATGTACTAGCGGTTTAAACCACCACTACCTTTCACAGGCCAATTCGAAATGCGAATATAGCCTACACCGCATTCTTCGGAGGTCAGGCGCCACCGGACCAAACTGGCTGGTGGTGCCAGCCAAAAGCGAAAAAAAAAGTCGCGCTGGCACTTCAGCAAAGCTTGGCACGCAGTTCTTTTCCGCCTTGGCAAAAAGGGGCTCGGAGGTAGTCGTGGTTTGATCGACCAGTCCCTCTGAGCCTCTTTTTCCCGATGCGGACTTTTGCCACACACCAATTCCTGCCAAACTGCCATGGCACGAGACTTGCCTGGTGACGCCTGCCTTTTCGGTCCAGTAGGCCCTACCTGCGATTTGGCAGTGGATTCACCGGCATGTCAGAACAAAATAGCTGGGAAAGGGACTGGTGGTTCAACACGATAGGTTGCTCTAATTTTCAAACTATGAAGTATGCAAGGGTAGGTACAGGAGGAGGGTCTATCACCTTTGGTAAGGAAAGGTGAGTAGGACTGGGTACTTTGAGTAGTCTCCCCCAACTCATGATGACGTGGCAGAAGTATGGTGATTTACTCTTGTAATCTTCCCTGTTGTTTTATATGCTTGCCGGTGGTAAGCACCGGACTGGTGAACCCCAAGAGAACCGACACCAGCAGGTGCCTACCGCAGTAGTCGTTCGGGCAGTTTCTTCAAAAAAAAAAAAAAGATACATCAGATGGTCAAAGTTAGATAACCACTTTCTCACCCAATGAGCTATGAAATTTTGACGAAGTCCACTTTCGTGAATTTAGAAAAAAATGTGAGTTAGAGTAGAAGGCGCTGGGTAAAAAAACAAAAAAAAAACTACAAAAAAACAAAAAAGGAAAGAAAAAGTGAAGGGGAGATGTGGGTTTACATTTAATTTTTATTGTTGTTATTTTTTTCAATTTTTAAAACCCCCGCTGGAGGGGTATTGCTGAGAGTGATAAGAGCAGCTCCCAGCAGTACCTACCCTTCGCCTTGGGGGCCTCTTTTTTTTTTTTTGAAAGGCCCTTGTGCAAGACCTCTATCCTGGTGGTGGTACGCCTTGGGGGCCTCGAGGAGCGTCACCTGCTGGAAAACGGGTCCAGCATCCCAATACACAGAGAAAAGCACTGGGGGCTGCAGCTGAGTAACCACCTGGAACCTTTGTGTCTCCAGCAGGGGGCACCGGAGGGGCACTGCGGCTCTACTATTTTGGAAAATACTATCGAACTTTGGAGTCAGACCATTAGCTCAGGACTTCAGTAAGAGAGAGAGCACGTGGAGGAAAAGAACCAGGTTGTTGTAGAGGCTGGATTCCAGACATACGGTGGTTGGAGTCATCAGTCAGCCATTGGTTATCCGTGTTGTTGTTGTTGTTGGTTTTTTTTTTTTTTTTTTTTTTTTTTTTTGAGGCTACCTCCCAGCTCTTCCTCTCATCAACACTCCTAGCAGCCCCCCTATCCCCATTATCCTACCTCAGTGTGAATCACTCAGGACTATCATCCTACCAACTTGGAGGGTGACTTGGACCGAATAGCAGGTATAGACACCAAGGCTGGGCAGGCTGGCGCCCACGGACAAGTCCGGACTGCCCTAGCTTACCCAAGGCTACTGTTTTCACCCGAGTAGAACGTACTGTCATTCTCATTGCATCTGGACTGAAAGTTGTGCCAAAAATGCAGGCAGAATGACCGCACGTTTTATTCAGGGGAAGCCCGTAGGCAGATCCCGGACGAGCCGGAGCGACTTATATCCCTACCCAGCCCAGGATGAGCAGAATCGGACGAGCCTTATCGTGCTGGAACTTCAGACGCCAGGCTCAAGCATTCTTCTACTAGCCCCCTATAGTCAGAGGTTCTACTCGAGACGAGTAGCAGGTATAGACACCAAGGCAAGGCAGGCAGGCTAGCACCCATGGACAAGGCCGGACTGTCCTAGCTTACCCAAGGCTAGGCGGATCCCGAACTAGCCGGATTAAGTCCCGACCCAGCCCTGGTCCCACCAGTTCCTACTGAAGCATGTACTAGACCCCCCTGACCCCCCTGACCCCCTTCCCAGCCTGGTATTGTAGCTGTTAATCCCAGCCCTGGTCCCACCAGTTCCTACTGAAGCATGTACTAGACCCCCCTGACCCCCTTCCCAGCCTGGTATTGTAGCTGTATATAGGTGCCCGGAGGCTGTGTATGTGCCCATAGGCTATGTGTATGCCCGTAGGCCATGTACGTGTGCCCGGAGGCTGTATGTGTGCTGTGTATGTGTCTGTTGGCTATGTATGTGCCCGTAGGCTATGTGTGTATCTGCCCGTAGGCTGTGTATGTAAGAATTCTACAGTTTTGTATGATAGGCCTATATGTGCTAGAAACCCCCCACCAAAGTCCCAAGCCAGACTCGAACCCATGTTCATCATCATGTAACAGCTGTCCTCTACCATGTGTGCTACAATCTCAAATGATACCAATGTGTGCTAGGCCAGACTAGGGAGATCATCAGAACAACCTATGGCCAACGTCCTTAGGCAACCCACGCATAGTCAAGACCCGACATACAACAATCCTGGACTAAATCCCTTGGTGGTACAGGCAGTGTCTGTAATCCTTACCATGCACCTATCCCCAAGGGATTATTGTGTACAGCCATGAGTTGGTCAACGCCCGCTGGTGTCCATGAGCGAGGCCGGAGGGTTTTAAACCCACAACCTCAAACCGCAATGCACATTTCCAACCGGTGCTCTACCCACTGAGCTATCGGCTTGTAGCTTCGCAAGTTCCAAATAATGGGAACTATCCAATAATAAATAAGAAAAAAAACTATCCGGGGGTTAGAATACCGTTTCCACATGGATCTTTTAAAAAGAGAAAAAAAAAAAAAAAAAGAATACCGTTTCCGAATATCGTCTCCTATTCGGCCTGAAAGGGGTGCGCCTCTCTGACATAAAACTGGCAGGAGTGACATCCAATACACAGTGATGATTTGGCTACAGCCTTGCAGGCACCAGCAATCCCACCCCGGAAATTTTGACTCTGGACCTGATGGCCTGCATTCTCCGGTCTGGGGGACCACAATCCGGGCCCGGTTGGCCCAGAAACCCTTTCTTGTTCTCAGTTCCTATGGCAGTGAGAACATGTCTCAGACCCTTCCCAAGGGGCCTCTTTGAGTATATGGACTTGGACCAACCGTTTGGCCTAGAAATTGACTCAGGGCCTGTCGAAAGAGGGTTTTCGAACCCTGTTTAGTTGCACCTTTTCTTCTTACCTGTTCTGAAGCTGCTGCTTCTCTCGCTGCTCTTGCTCCTCTTGCATGGCCCATATTTCCCAAGCAATGATCGGCAACATCGAGGCGCTTTGTTTTGATGCAAAGATGTGCCATGTTCTCCCACACACATGGGTTCTTTATAAGCTTTACTGCCTTGTAAGCCTCATCCATGTTGCCAATGGACAGATGATAGCTGAATCCCAACAGTGCCTTCCTTGTCTTTGCATCGATGTTCTCCTACAGATTCACAATCACAACGCAAACCCGCACCGTCAGAGTACAGTCGCCTTTCCAACGTGTATGCTCATTTCGAGCCATTTGGATATGCCAGTAGATTCTAGTCAAACACACCCACTCCTCAGCTTCTAAATAGTCATTACCTTCTCTTCTTCCTCCTCCTCCTCTTCCTCCTCCTCCTCTTCCTCCTCTTCCTCCTCTTCCTCCTGCCCCCCAGTAGGTTCTAGTCAAATAAACTCCCACTCCTCAACTTCTAAATAGTCATTACCTTCTCCTCCTCCTCCTCCTCCTCCTCCTCCTCCGCCTCTTCCTCCTCTTCTTCCTCTTCCTACTCTCCCTCCTTCCCCCCCTCCCCCTCCTCCCCCTCCTCCTCCTCCTCCTCCTCCTCCTCCTCCTCTTCCTCCTCTTCCTCCTTCCCTGCCCTGCCCTTCTTCTTCTTCTTCTTCTTCTTCAACATCAACGTTGTCATCATCATCATCGTCACCACCACTACTGGTTTCACCATCATTGGTATGATCCTCGTGACAACGATGATTACGACGACGAGTGTGACAATCATCATCATCATCATCATCATGGCCCAAGACAGAAGTCTACCAATGTGCAGCTGCTACCCACCCAAGACTGCTCTTGAAGATTTCTGAAAGACCCGTCTGATCAGCAGACCCTGCAGGTCAGGGAGCAGATGCATCCAGCATAACAGGGATACGATCAAACCAAAGTAAGTTCCCTGAATGGTAAAACTCTTCAAAATGGAGAAAAAGGCAATGTTGAATTTTCATCAATGTTGGAGGTGGTAATGGACCTGGGGGTGATGGGAGCTATCGGTAGTTGTTTCCCTAGTACTGGCTCAACACGTACCATCCCTGCAAAATCGCGCATGACAGCTTCCCGGTGGAATGATCTTCTCTCCTTTCTGTCCTCCATTTCCGTGGTTGGCTTCTTGTAGAAGTAGAGGTAGGGAACCTGCAATCCAAGAAGGCCCTCCTCTGCATCGTTCATATCAATCTGTCACCCAGATGTGCAATTGCAAACCCGCCGCCACAAGTGCATTTAGAAACCCGAGGACTTCAAAAAAAAAAAAAAAAAAAAAAAAAAAAAGCATTTAGAAACCCAAGGACTAATACTATCGGAATCATAAATTATTACGACTTACTAAATTACTTACGAGAAGTTCCGACAATTATTATGACCGTTATCCCATCATTTCGTGCAAAGCGTATAATATGTGACGTACTAGAACTGAGGAAAGCATGTTGTCCCATCATTTCACATGAACTTTATTATGCAGTATATTCATTAAACCACCAGTACGAGCCCCCTCCTCCACGACTCCCGGTGGTATATAAGGAGGCCGCGCTTTCTATTTCACCAGCTTGGTGGGGACCGGTTGGATTCATTCAGGCGGTAAAAATTGGCTCGGCAACTTAGGGTCTGCCGTTAATAAAAAAAATAAGGAGAAAAGCAGCACTGGGCCCGTTAGTTTAAAAAAATAATAATAAAAATAAAAAAAAAGAAGGCAGCTCCACCAAGGGTAGCCAGTAAGAAAGAGATCATAGAGAGAAGAGGGAAGATCGCACATGAAGATTAAGGGTGTAAGGATCAGGTTTTTTTTTTTTTTTTTTTTTTTTTTTTTTGTTGAAGCTCTGATCTATTGCTGGGGAGCCACACCTGCTGAAAACCGAGTCCGGCCCCCATTTCGAAATATAGACGTTTTGGAAGATACCCACATTTAGCAGAGGAATCAACAAAAACAGGGCAGCATTGATTACCCTTCGCACCCAGAGGGGATGGTAAGGAGTCTAAGGACCAATTCTAGTGCAATGTTGTATCATGCTTCATTTTCCTTTTTGCTGACATGTCCTGACCTTATTTGCTTGCTCCCATTATTCTCCCCATTTCTTGCTCTCTTTCCATCGAGGGCCCTAATACGAAATGGACATGGGAAATTAGGCAGGCCCCTCCAAGTACCTCGTTCCTGGTTGTTCTGCCATTGAGAGGGCTCCAGTAAAAGTGGGTATTGGGGCTTTTCCAATACCCCATTTCTGGCTCTTCTGCCTTTGATTGCCCCGGTAGGGTCCTAATACCAAATGGGGTACTAGGGCCCTCCTGACACCCCATTTCTGGCTCTTGTGCCTTTCTTTCAGGGGGAGAGGGGAATGAGAGATCGCATTTGAAATGGAATGGGACAAAAAACTCCTCCAGCTTTTGCACTTAAACCACGAGTACCTCCGAGAGTCGTGGCAGTATACAAGCCGCGACAATCATGAACGAACTCTGCACCCAAATTCATCCGGGTAGAAATGCTTCTACTCTATTTTTCCCGCGGCCTATATATTATGGGACAGGTACTGGCGGCTTAATTGCCACCAACACAATCTGAAATGGGCCGGACTTTTCTGCTGGGCACCTGACTTTATCGCAATGGCACACTCAGGGTATACTTATATTCGAAACCCCCATCCCGAAAAAAAAAAAAATAAAAAAAAATAATAATAATAATAATAATAATTAAAAAAAAAAAATCGAAACCCCATTTTCCGACAGAATTTCATCATGGACATGGTTAGAATCCGTGAGATACGTTCAGGAAATCATCATCCTGTGAGCATTCACTTTGGGAGAGGCACTGTGGTTTCAAGATTGGTAGCGCTCTGCACCCTTTTTTTTACCCCCAATTATTTCCAGCGCATCACCGCCGCAAATGCCCCACAGACAGTTTCCCAGCCCAAACTGCAATCGCAGACAAATACGACTCTGCGGCCCTGCCAAATGCGAGTCGCACCATTTCCACTCCTTTTTTTCTGATGGAATTAAAAACAACACCATTGCACTGCCCAATCAGCCCCAATCCAGTTGACTAGATATAAAATTATCAGTTATTATGATGAATTTAGCAAATATTTGAAAAACGCATCCCCGTGTCCCCTAGCCGTCCAAGGTTGCCCCTAGTTAGTTGAGATTACACATTTAAAAAAAAAAAAAAAAAAAGATTACAGATTAGTTGAAATTACAAATTATTCCCCGGGCCTGGGATACATAAGTACGTTTCCCAGCCACTAAACGTGCCTCTGGGCAGGGGTAGCAAAGGGTTCCCATGCCGTGCCCCCCCTACATAAGTATGTTTCCCAGCCACTAAACGTGCCTCTGGGCAGGGGTAGCAAAGGGTTCCCATGCCGTGCCCCCCCTACATAAGTATGTTTCCCAGCCACTAAACGTGCCTCTGGGCAGGGGTAGCAAAGGGTTCCCATGCCGTGCCCCCCCTACATAAGTATGTTTCCCAGCCACTAAACGTGCCTCTGGGCAGGGGTAGCAAAGGGTTCCCATGCCGTGCCCCCCCCCCCCCAGCCCTCCCACGACGGCTCGGTCTGCGGGAGCATTTGGTCTTCTCTTTTTTCTTCTGCTTATGTCCTTCATCTTGTTTTCTGCTTGCCGGTAATAGGCAACCGGACTGGTGCCCCCCAGAATAGAAGGGGCGGGGTTTCTCCAAAACAAAAACAAAAAAAGAAACAAAAAAAACACTCAAAAAAGGTAAAAATACCAATTTGCTTTTTGGCAAGTTTTTACTAATTAGTAATTACAAATTACATGTATACCCACAAAATGGACAACAATTGAACCCGGATGCAATGCAGGCCGCCGCAAAAGCAGCACGCCTGCCTACGCTGCGATGCTGCTCAGTCTACTCCCGCATCTTTGAAGGAGAGCTGGCAACTCTCTGACTTGGGGCGGAAAGGTACAGGGGAAGAAAGCCGCGACGAAAAAAATCAATAGAAGAAGTGCAAGTTTCGCGACCATAATGAAGTTACCTTTCATTTATTTTTGTATATGGATAGTTTGCTTTTGGCTTGTTTTGGAGGTTTCCGAAGTTTCATACGTCAGCTTTAAAAAACAAAAAACTGAATTGGAATTAATCGCTGGGGTAAAAAGAATTCAAACCTTTGCATGTTGGTATCAAAAACCGACTCCTTTCCACTTGGCTACACTCCAACGAGATAACGCGACCGACCATCGGCCTCAACATCGTAGTTTAGAATTTAGAATTGTGTTTTTTGTTTTTCAGATATTTGACTACACCATACAAACAACAGCAATTGAATATTTATGGCAACAAGACGACCCTCGATTCATAGACAATGATGACAATCTATATTTTATTATTTTCTACATTTGACAATCATTTGGTAGATTATCCAAGTCCTAGGCATCTCATCTATTGGTGGTTTCCTCAATGTCCCGGCCCATATGATTTTCGACGTCGCTGTACGAGGGAAGACGTTGTGCCATCTTGCAGTGGATCGGCCCTGCCGAACACGTCCAGGCAATTATCCCACCAGCATCTTACGTTCACGAGTTTTAGGTTCAGCTATATCAGAAACAGTTGGGGTTCAACCAAGGACTGGCTGCGTTTTTTTTTAATATATAATGACTTGATTTGACATATATGGCTAAGCTTCTGTGAAAACCCACTTCTTGTGATCCTGGCCTATTTCGAAGTACACATTCATCAGATAGTATAAGGCCGTCCAATTGCAGAAAGAAACTTGAGAGGAGAGAGAGGGTAAGAAGAACAAGAAGAAGAAAGAAAGAAGATGAAGATGATGTACACCGGCATAGACAAATGACAAAGCTCTTCTTCTTCACCAATCACTCTCCTCCTCCTTTACTCCTCCTTTCTTATTCATACAAGAAATAATAGTACATGTTGAATGGCTGATCCAGAATCAATGTCCGAGTTCCTCTTCTACTGCAGGTATCACTTGAGGTCCACCATAGCCATGGCCGCCTCCCTCACTCTTCACTCTCATAGGCCGAGGCTATGGCGGACTACTGGGCCTTTCCCTGATGCCCAAAGGACAAGCCAAAGCAGCTATGGCTGCTCTAGCTCAGGCCGCCATGCCTGACTCTGCCTCGAAGCTTCTTGGTGTAGCTCTACCCCAGCTGGGGTCTCCGTGCTGCAGCGCCCACCAAGGTGATGAAGATGGCTGCCACCATAGCCAGGTAAGTACCTCTGGCGCTCCCCCTTCCTCCTGTTCTTCTTCCTCCTCCGTGTCCTTGCTCCTTCCCCAGCAGCGCTGCTCCAGCCAGCGCTCCAACCAGTGTATCGCCAAACTTGCACACCGACAATGAGGCTGGGCTCTTTGCCCGGCCTGGAGATATAGCGGCCTGCTTGCCTCCTGGGCGGTGACTTCCAGGCCGCTCGGCCTTCCCAGCAACCGGTACCTCCTCCCTTTCGGAGGGAGTCATCATTGCAGACTCTGATATTGCCCGTACAGGCCCTAGACTCAGACTGGTTGGACTGGTTCCCGCCTAGACCTAGCCCACAACTGCTGGGCCTCTCAAAATGCCACTTTTGTCTTCTTCTGCTCGGCCTCCACTACCCGCACATCTACCTCTTCAGGGTGCGGTACCGGCCTACCTGCTACTTCAGTGTTTTCCCCCGCTGCAATCCCTCAATGTTACGGCCACAGGTAAGAACCGGCCCTGAGGGCCCAACGAACGGACAAGTACCCTTGCGGGTCACACACACACTCAAGCCAACCAGCACCCAGACAGACAAGAAGACCAGCAAGCGTGCCCACACACACAGACATGCAGAACTTAGTAGCAAGCGGGAAACTCAGCAAGGCATTCAGTCCGTGAGCAAAACTAAGGAATCAACTGTGTGTCTCAGTCCATGTTTGGTCGGGTCATCACACACTCCACAAAATGGAAGTTTCATTTTGGGTTTTAGGCTTTTAGCTGAAGTGACAAGAGCCAATGAAACCCACAAAGGTGTTCAAAAATTTCGAAATGATTTTGTATTTCCCATCATTTCTGGGAATAAGCGTTAGAGCTTGTAGAGGGAAAAAAAAAAAAAAAAAAAAAAGAAGTTCCGGGAATATGTACTTTGCCTACATTGGTTTTGTATATCCCGCTATAAGCAACCCTTTCACCAGCGCTAGGAATTTTCTCACAGGCAATCT